AAAAAGGAAAAAAAACCTTCACAGAAACATCTAGACTGGCATTTGACCAAATATCTGGGTACTGTGGCCTAGCCAAGTTGACACATAAAATTAACCACAGCATCTACAAGCCAAGATAAGAGTGGGAAGACAAGAATGAAACCCAGGCTGCCATCTATCCCCAAATCTGCAGGCTTATGGGGGCAGCTGGGCCTCCCCACAGCCAGAGCAGGGCCCTGTGGCTCCCTCCAGGGCCCAGAGGGACAGTGGGGCGGTCAATTGCAGGGCCACAGACTGAAGGATGTGACATCTTGGTTTCTTCCAAGTTTTGGCAATTACGAACAAGCTGCTATAAACATCCGTGGGCAGGTTTCCACGTGAACATACGTCTTCAATTTCTTTGGGTAAATGCCAGGGAGCACAATGCTGGATCATATGGTAGGAGTCTGTTTAGTTTTGTAAGAAACCACCAAACTGTCTCCCAAGTGGTGGCACCATTGTGCATTCCCGCCCAGCATGAGTGAGATTCCTGCTGCTCCCGGCATTTGATGCTGTCAGTGTTCCGGCAAAATGTTGGCCATTCTGATAGATGTGCAGTGGCATCTCACTGCTGTTCTATTCTGCAGTTTCCCAGGTGACATGCTGTGCAGCATCTTTTGCTATACTTACTTGTCATAATATGCAAACAATTTTAAAAACTCAACACTATGAAAACAAGCAACCCAGCTGAAAACTAGGCAAAGACCTGGACACCTCACCAAAGAAGATACACAGATGGTAAAGCCACTGTGGAAGACAGTTTGGCAACTTCGTACAAAGTGAAACTATCAGATACGAGCCTTGCAGCAATTTTCCTACAGCCTGTGGCTTGTCTTTTCATTCTCTTAACGTGTTGTGTCAACTGTTCTCATCAAATTGCCCTTTCATGGATTGTGCTTTAGGTGTTGTGTTAGTATACTTTTTGAACTTTACTTCTTAAAATGTACCTAATTCCTTGGCTCTTCGATGGTTTCTCCTCCCAGGAGCAGCGCCCACAGTGTCAGCCCCGCGCTCTCCCCAGGGACACACGACATGTGCTGGTCCATTCTTAGGGTTTGACAGGATTCGCTAGGAAAGCCACAGACACCTGGAGTGTTCCTAGTGTGCAGATTTTAAATTATGGATTCCATTTCTTTACCAAGGTTCTCCAGATTTCCCCTTTCATCTTGTGTCAGTTCTAATGTCATATTTTTCCAAAACGTGTCCATTTTATCTAAATTTTCAAGTTTATTAGCATAAAGTTGCTCCTCAAGTCCCCTTGAAATCTTTGAGAGTCTGTAGGGTCCCGTGTGTCCTTCCTCATTCCTGGCATTGGTTATTTGTGGGCATTTTGAGAGAGAGAGAGAGAGAGAGAGAGAGAGATCAGTTGCCTTCTGTACCTTCCCTGATGGGGATCAAACCCAAAACCCAGGTATGTGCCCTGACTGGGAATCGACCCAGCAACCTTTGGGTGCATGGGATGACGGTCAATCAACTAAGCCACTTCGGCTGGACTATTTTCTTCCTTTCTTCATAACCAGCCTTATCAGGGGTTTGTTGATTTTATTAGTTTTTTTCAAAACCCAACCTTTGGCTTTCTTTGCTCTCCTGTGGGATTTTCCTATCCCACTGCTCTGCTCTTTGTCATTTCTTCCTTCTGCTTTGTCTGGACCGAATTTGCTGGCCTTTTTCTCGAGAGAGCAGGACTGTCACCTTTCTTCTGTTCTAACATGTGCATTTCCCTCTAATCCTGGTTTCAGCATCATCCCACAGTTTTATGTAGTGTTTGCATGATTAATTTCAAAATCTCTCCTAACCTCCACTATGGCTTCTTTGAACTGTGAGTTATTTAGAATACTGTTTCTAAATTCTTGAACATATGAAGATGTATAATTATCCTTTGTTAAATTTCTGGCTCAATTTCACTGTGGTTTTTCAAGTCTTTGAAGTCTGTGGGGATTTGATTGTGTATCTTGGTGTGTTTGGAAAGATGGCACCTCCTGCAGGTGTTTTGTGCCCTGTCTGCAGGTGTCAATATAGTTTAGCTTGTTAGGCAAGTTGGCCACACCTGCCCTGTCCCTACTGATCTTATTTTTGTCTGCTAGCTCTGTCAGTTACTGACTCGTGTCTAAAACTTGCTATTATAATTGTGGGTCTATTTTCCCCAAAAGATCTGTCCACTTTTGTTTCACTTTTTGAGGCATAATATTGGGTACATACAAACGTAATACTGCTATAATGTTCTGTAGAGTCAAACGTTTGTAATTTTGAAACGTGTCCCTTTATATAACTTGTCATGGTTTGGCTGTAAGGTCCTTGCCTGATAGAAACACAGCGCCACCAGCTGTTCATCTACATGTTTCCTGGGCTATTTTTTCTTTTAGCCTCCAACCTTTCTCTTTACATCTTCTGTCCGCTGTCAGGGGGACATCGCTGGGTTTGGGGTGGGGTTTACCGTTGTTGTTTTGCTTTCGGCCATGACCATTTTGTCTGTTAATAGGAATGTTAGTCAGTTTACATTAATGTAATTCTGATATGCTTGTATTTCGATTGGCTTCTTAATATTTTTTTTCTCTTTATCTTGCCAGTTCGGTGTGTATTTTCTCTCATTCCTTGTCTTTTTAAAATTGATCCCTTTCTATCTTATTTTCCCGTTTGTCACCTCTATTAATTTGGTGATTATCCAGTTTTGCTGTTCTTTCAGCATTTGCCCTAGAGACCCAGAACCCGGCCTTGGCCAACACACATGGTGCATTCCCCTCTCCTTGGGCAGGACAAGGGTCTCTGAGCGCTTCCGTCCCATTTGCTGCCCACTCAGCTTAACGCTGCTCTGATTCCATATTTAAGTCTATACACATTGCAACCTCCTGAGGAATCACTGTCGGTTCACACAGTCAGGCTCATCCAGATTTATCAACTGTGTGCACTGCCGCGGCTGTCCCGTGAGGTTCCATCTGGAGTCACCGTCCTTCCGCTGAAACAACGAGCTTTCGCGCTTTCTTTAGTGAGTCTGCTGGTGACAAACTAACTCATTTTTATTTATGTGAGAACATCCCTATTTTTCCTTTGTTCTTAAAGAATACTTCTTCTAGGCATAGAATTCTAGGTTGGTGGCTATTTCCTCTCAGCACTTTTGAAGGGACCACGCCATTGTTTCCCAGTTTCCATGGTTTCTGGTGAGAAGTCAAATTCCAACTAAAAGTTGTCACAAACCGGGCACTTAAACAACAGGTGGGCATTCTCTCCCAGTTCTGGAGGCCAGAATCGGACACCAAGGTGTGGCCAGGCGTGCTCCCAGAGGACGGTCCTTCCTGCGGCCTCGGTTTCCGGGGCCCCAGGTGCTCCTCCCAGTCTCTGCCTCCATCTTCAGTGCCTTCCTCTGAGTGTCCTTTTCTGTCTCTTATAAGGACACTCCCATCTGACTTAGGACCTCATCCAGGGTGATCTCATCTCAACCCTTATCTTAATCACACCTGCAAAGAATTTATTTCCAAATAAGTCACAATCTGAGGTTCTGGGTGGACATGAATTTAGGAGGCATTACTCACCCAGTCAAGCACTGAATGGCAGGACATGGGCCACACACACCTGTAAGTTCTATAGTTCCAGACTGGCTGTCCCCCTGGGATGCACAGAAGGGGTGGTTGGCCTGAGTTGGGGTCCCTGGGTGAGTGCAGGCAGGCTCAGGCCACTGACAGGCCCTGGATCCAAGCTCCTGTCCTGCCCCTGCCTGGAGCCCAGAGGTGACTCCGGAAAGGTGGCCATGCTTATAGGGGACTGAGAATGAAGGTAAGTGATGAGGGGCCACCTTGCTCCCATGGGGACTGGCTGCCCTGAGTTCCCTAGGCAGCCTCCAAAGCTCCCTGGATGCCCTCACCTTTTGGGCAGGTTACCCAGCAGAGGCCTTGTAAAGAAATTATGTCCAGGCTGGTGGTGGGGACGGAGGAGGGCACAAAAGGTAGATGACTGGAGTGTGACAGTCAGGAAAGCTAAAACACAGTCAATCTTTTTAAAAGAAGAAAAAGTCAGAAACACCAAAAGAAACATCATGGTTATGGCTTGGCATTGGAGGAGGGTGTCATATGGGATCACTTTTTTAAAAAAATTTTTTATTGATTTGAGAGAAAGAGAGAGAGAGAGAGAAGAGAGAGAGAGAGAGAGAGAGAGAGAGAGAGAGAGAGAGAGAGAGAGAGAGAGAGAGAGAGAGAGAGATTTGTTGTTCCACTTATTTATGCACTCATTGGTTAATTCTTGTATGTGCCAGGACCAGGGATCAAGCCCACACCTGTGACATACGGGGACAATACTCTGGCCAACTGAGCTGCCCGGCCAGGGCACATTTTTATTTTGTCTTTATAGTTTCCTACATATCCAAAATTTTCTACAGTTAACCTATTTTTTGTTGTTGTTGTTAATCCTCACCCGAGGATATTTTTCCATTGATTTTTAGAGAGAGTGGAAGGGAGGGCGAGAGACAGAGAGAGAAACATCGATGAGAGAGACATATGGATTGGTTGCCTCCCACATATTCCCCGGGGGGGGGGGGCGGGGATCGAGCCTGCAACCGAGGTACGTGCCCTTAACCGGAATTGAATCTGGGACCCTCTATCCACTGAACCAAACAGGCTAGGACAAGCATATTTTATTTTTAGAACCAAAAATGAAGAAGAAATAAAAAGGTGCTTCCATGAGGAAACAGGGGGCAGGTCCTGGGAGGTGACCCTGCTCGCTACACTCCAATGGGAAATGCGGACACGCAGGGCCCTTTGCAGACCAGACAGCTCTGGGGGCTGCCCTACCGAGACCTGCCTTTCCTGCCCTCATCCTGCCCCCACCTCTGACGCCCCAGGGTTTGGAGAGTTTGGCCAGTGGGGTGGGGATAGGGAGCAGACGATGCAACCAGATTGGGGGCTGGTGGTCAGAGAAGTGAGCTAGAGAACTGGGTGCCCTCCCCAGGGCTTTGGTAGGGAAAGAACTCAAGAGAAACGTCTCTGGACATGAATGCACAACCCCTTTATTTCCCATCCAGAAACCAGAAAGCAGAGTGAGATTAAAGAGCCAAACACCAGGACAGTGCAGCACCTTGCTCTAGTCTAAGGGTCCCAGTCACCCTTGCCCACGGCCCATCGCCTGCCCCTACAAGGCTGAGAGCCCACCTCCCTTGGCTTCCAGCTGTGAGCTCTTCTCAAAGCCTGCTTGTTTCAGTATTAAAACTGAACTTCTGTGTCCTTGCACAGGGTCCTTCATGAAGACCTACCCTCAGGGCTCTCCATGAAGAAGTCGAAGGTCAAAGGTGCTTCTTGAGGGATCACCCAGAGCTCCATCCAGGCCCTTGCCCTCCCCCCTCCTCCTGGGTGCACCTGGCCAGGCCTGGTCAGAGGGCCCTTCAGGAGGGCCAGCACTGCTCCCGAGGCTTGCTCCCCAGGCCGGTTGGCTTGGGGCCCGGAAGCACATTCTCTAGGACCTCGCGCAGGGAGAACACGCAGAAGGAGATCTCCTCATAGGACACCCTGGCTCCGCTCTCATATAGACACGCGAAGGTCAGGGCGCCCTCAGGGGTGGGCCCGATGAATGCCAGGTCAGAGTAGCCGCTGGGGCCCTGGTAGATCACCCAAGGCTCCGTCCAGCTGTGCGGGTTCAGGGGGGACCTGTTCAGGTGGACACCCATATGGAGCCGAGCCCTGCGCCCCGCTGGGTGGGAATACAGCAGCCACGTGGGGCTCTGAGGCAGGGCAGCAGGGAGCCTAGGGAGCTGCAGGGACCAGGCCCTCCTGTCCCCACTGAGCTCAGGCCCTGGGCTAGGGTCCCCTGATCCCTCTGTCCCGCCCCCACATCCCTTTGTCCCACCCAGCCCCCTACCCCTTTGGGTGTCTCCAGCCCCCTCCTTTGGGGATTCGTGGGCTCCAGGACAGAGATTTGGAGGAAAGGGAGTCTTCCTGGAGCCCACTGACCATCCCTCATCACCAGGCCTATTAGAGGGTGGGGCTGGGAAGCCCAGGATGCTGCCCTGGCAACCCCGGGCCGTCTCAGCCAGGGTGGGCACCAGCTCTCCTGGCAGGAAGGAGGTGCCCTCATCTGTGCTGAGGGCCTGCACACGGCTGCCCAGGGGGCTCCGGGCATTGCAGTAGAGGACACTGCCCGCCTGCCCTCCATCCACCACAGCCAGCTGACACTCGCCCGAGCGCAGGTTGGACAGGAGGCCGCCATGATGCCAGGTCTGGCCATGGTCATCGCTGTAGAAGGTGAAGGCGTGGGGGCTGGTCCTGCAGATCTTGCCGAAGCACTCACGCCGGTCCACATGGTAGGTGTAGGCCGGCACCAGCAGGCGGCCCGAGCGCAGCTGGATGCCATGGCCTGGGCCCACGGCAAACGTGGCCCAGTCTGCAGACGGGAGGGGCTGCTGGTTACCTCAGGAGCGCACAGCCACAGCCGCAGGTGGTGGGGAGGATGGGGGCATTGCCGGATCAGGGAGCAGCTTGTGAGGGAGCCACCCCTTGACCATGCCTCTGCCCTCCACTCCTTCAAGCCACCCTGAGTCCTCTGGGGCTGGACAAGCCTCCTGAGAACATTAGCAGGAGTGGGAGCCCGGGCGGCCACTTGGCCAGGTTCTCGGCATGTGAGCAGGTGGCCAGGGTGAGCATTGTCCCTGCAGGGGCAGCTGGTGGATGTGGGGTGTGTGGAGCTTCGGGACTGGGTAGCCCCTCCAGCCTGGGCCAGTCCCCTGGGGTGGGGTCCACACCCACCGGTAGCTCGTTGATTAGCTGCAGGTCTCAGAGCCGCCCCCTGACAGGGTCGGGGTGGCCCCGGAGGCAGTGGTAAGGTCACCCTGCCTGCAACCGCCGCTGAGGAGGAGGAGGAGGAAGTGGTTAAGGAGGGAGGCCTTGGGGTTTGGGGGCTCAGATGAAGACACAGCTCAGGAAGACGAACAGACTGCTCCTTCTGACCTGACCAACACCCGTTTGCGGACTTAGGGGTCGAGGATGGTACAACCTCCATGGTCCTTAGGCTGGGGGCGGGGGCGGGGGCAGGCAGCCAAGGGACCACTAGCCAGATCCGCCC